CACATTATTTTAAGAATAATGGATAATTCGTAGTTCTATACAAATAATATCAAAGCATAATGCATGTAACATTCAGAAAATAAGTTATAGCTTTCTTGGAAATATAGGCAATGGTAGCATGAATTTAGTGTGCATCCCAAAGAAATGTTATTAATTCAATGTCAATGTTTTCTATAAGTCACAACTGTTATTTAGTGAAAGAAAATCTTTTTTGTCAGTCCAACCCAAGCTAAGGAAATACGTCCTTCTCTCGCTTGTCTCTCTACTCTTACAAATTTCATTAAGTTCTTCTGCGATTGAAACTTTTGTCACTTTTCAGGTCAAATGATCAGTTTTGATTTATTGAACTTCGTGCTTATTGGACGGTGGTTACAGTTTATTTTTCCTCAAGCTTAAGGAACATTGGACAGTTTTCCTTTCTCCAGCTAGCGATATTGTTGACGAATGCTTGTTTGTACTGATTGTTTATTGTTTTCTAACTTTCAGAAGCTGGAAAGCAGGAGGAAGGTCCTGACAACGATTGACTGGCCGGAGAAGAAACAGAAAGTTATTCCTCTCTTGGGGAAAGAGTTAACATTTCTCAAATTGGAAAACCAAATAATATGGATTCATCTACATTGATGACTTTAAGAAAACATCCCATACTCACTGCTATTTATTCCCTTATTGCTTTTAATTATTTATGCATTTTGAAAATTCAGTTTTTATTAATGTGAACATTCCAAATATCAGTTGTTTATCAGCAAATTGTTGAATGTAAATAAAGCTATCATGACTTTGTGTTTTATTCTGTTATTTGTCATCCTGACAGTTTTACCATTGTGCAATTGTATAAAATACCTGATTTGGTATGTGTGTTGCATGAAACACAACCTCTTTTCTGGAGGAGCGGGTAATGGGCCAGCACAACAGATTCAGTTTCATGGAAAGCAGGTTATAAGCTGGGAGCTAGGTTGGAAACAACAATAAACTAAGCACCAGCAGGAGCCTCCATGAACGAGTGGGCAAAGTCCCGACATGGATACTATCCAGATACTGGTGCAAAATGTAGTTTCAGTTTTAATGGAAACTAGGTTATAACTTGGAAACTAGGTTGAACCCTACAATAAACGGAAACATGGAAACCAGGTTGAAACCTACAATAAACGAAAACATGGAAACCAGGTTGAAACCTACAATAAACGAAAAAACGGAAACCAGGTTGACACCTACAATAAACGAAAAAATGGAAACCAGGTTGAAACCTACAATCAACGAAAACACGGAAACCAGCTGGATCCAGCTTGGAGGAGTGGGTAATGAATCGCACTGGAAACCAGCTGGAAATGGTGCAAAATTCAGTTTCAGTTTTCATGGAAACCACAATGAAATTATAGGAAACTACATGGAAACCAACTGGAAATGGTGGTTTCCATGTTGTTTCTTCTCAGTTTCAGTGTTCCAGAAACCAACTTATTTTTGTAGTGAAATAGTAAATAATCTACTCGTTACATAAAAGAACCTTGTTAAGGACCTAGATCTACTCAACAATGTGTCAACCAGTGAGGCGTTCGACAGAAAACCTTCGCTGGCGGTAAGTACTTGGGAGTAGGCTTTGATGTGAGCTATTTTTCTAATGTTTTGTTGATATTTCACAGACCCAAGCTTTTCATATGCTAAGACAGTAGAATACCGATTTAACTGATTATATAATTTCATTTGACTGTTTCATCACACGTTCTTCTTACCGAGTCACTTTCTCAGTTCGATACTTAAAAGCAATGTCATTATTTAGCATTGTCAGAATTTCTGTGATATAGATATCTCTGTCACAGACAAAACTCAATGTCTGTTTTATTGACACCTCTGTGTCTACCTGCCTGTCTGCTAATGACAATATGCAATACACAACTTCAATCACTGACCACATGAACACTTGAACTTAACACCTATCAGGTTATACACCATAAACAAATCACATTGATATATGGTTCGTGCACCTGCGATCTGTCTCTGTCACATTATGTAATTACGCAGACAGGCAGGTGTGATACTTGTACACATGACATGTTATGATGTCTGTTGATTGCAAAATGTTATACACAAAAAAATGAGCATGTACTTACAAAACCCAACATCTCTATATACACACAAAAGGTGTATCGGCAATGAACCAGCCAATGAAAGTCTTCCTTACGCTTAAGTAATTGTCCCCAATTCGTCAAACACAGTACAGTTATCCCCTAAATATAAACATACCACTAAATCTCTTTGAACTCTCAACATCTCAATCAAAACATACCACTTAATCCCTTTGATCTCTGTACATCTCAATCTTTAGATTATAGGGAAAAAAAGTCCTCGGGAAAAAAGTCCTTGGTAAAAGAGTACCGGGAAAAAAAAGACTTCCAGAAAAAATGTCCTATTATTGTGAAAACAGATTAAATAGATGTTGACATCAAAGATATTGTAAAGAAAACATAAAGTGCTTGTGTATAATGACCATAAAAGACATAGATTGAAATACTTGAGTTAACCAAGAATAATGACATATCAACTGAGCAGATCTAATCCAGGATTTAGCTTGAGTACTGTTTGTCAAATACAATGTGATTTTAGCTGATTGAATCAAAGAACTCGATAGTTATAATGTGATTATAGCTGATTGAATCAAAGAACTTGACAATTAAAATGCGATTTTAGTTGAATGAATCAAAGAATAATTAGTGTTCACAAACAAGATTGTTTTTAAAAAACAAACTGGCTTCTGGGAGATATATAGATGTATTCCTGAAAAACATTAGTAACCATTTCATCATGGAAATAATTCTGACCAACAAGGGTGGCTTGAAGCTGGTTTTGTATGGTCACATGTACACTAAACATGCCACTCGCAAATCAAAGATTGTTTGGAAGTGCAGACGTAAGTCAAGTATTAACTGCCAGGGCCATGTTTGGATTAACTTGCAAAATGAAAACCCAGAAGTGACCAAGTCTCATAACCACTGTTGATGTTCAAATTAAAAGTAGGACTCTTTTTTCCGGAGGACTTTCTTTTCCTAGGCAAATTTAGTATTTTTTTTCACTGGTACTTCTTTTCCTGGGGACTTTTCTTCCGAACAACAATCTTTAATCCCATCTCACTGGCCTCCTGTACACATGATATATTTTGTTTGTGAATCATATTGTCATTCACCTGATGAAGGGGAAAGAATTAGCCCAGAAACGTCAGGTTGGATTTATAATAAAGAAGTTGTAAATCCATAACATACACTGTTGTGCTACCATCCAGCTTCTAAATGCCCATCAAGCATCTGATTGCTCACTCTGCACTACAGCTTCAGTAAAGTTAGATGCTTTGGAACAGTTTGTACTTTAACTGGTATCACTAAAATTATGGTTTATGGTTGGTGTGCAACTGCATAATTATGAGAAATGGTATTTTCAAGGTGAACAAATTGAAGTAGTTTCTTTTTATAGAAATTTGGGACTTGTATTTACACCCAAGCTAAACTGTAGTAAATCAAGCTTTATTTGAGTAGACAGGCAAATAAAGCACCTATGTCCATTCATAATTATACCAAACGAATTTGCGGTATGTCTTGTTATGATTTATTTAAGATTTTTATTGTATGGTTGTCTCTACTTTAACTTATGTATCAGAGTTATGGTGAGTAATTATTGTAAAGAAGTTGAGAAGATACAAGTTAAACTTTGTAAATGGTATTTACAGGTTGGTCGAAAGACAACAACTTGTATGGTGTTTGGGGATTGTGGCAGAATCACACTGATGTCTGTATATATGACTAAACCAATTCAATACTGGTGCAGACTTATACATTTAGATCATTCAAGACTACCTTTCCAGTGTTATGAGATGCTAAAGTCATTTAATAATGACAAAAGTTCTAATTGTGTCACTCACATAAAGAACATATTATTTAGGTATGGATTTGGAATTGTATGGATATCACAGGAAGTTGGAAATGTTAAATATTTTATATCCTTGTTCAAGCAGAGACTTTGTGATAACCTTCAACAAGAATGGTTGAGTGATCGATCTAATTCCTCAAAGTGTATGTATATTATAAACAATTCAAGTCATTACAGAATGTTGAATCTTATGTCTCATGTAATATTGCATTAAGACTCAGACTAGCTATTCTCGAAACGTTCGTAGCTCTAAGAACTTCTTAAGCCCATTCTTAACACATTGGCTACGATCAAAGTTAAGAATTCTTAGGGCTACGAATGCTTCGAGAATAAGGGCCCAGATCCACTCAAGACTTTGATGCAGTAATCTTATTTTGACTGTAGAAACTGGAAGATATTGTAATATTTTGTACTCTGAAAGGTATTATTATATAGGTAGTATTTTTCCTGTACCACGATTGGTCAAAATACCGTCACATGATTGACTACAAAACACGATATTGACTTGAGTTTTCTGATAAATTACGATATTGACTTGGGTTACTAAAAATAGACAAGGAATCCCGTACGAAGGGGCTTTCCCCGCTTTTCAGCCAATCAGATCACTCGGATAGATGGCACAGTGTGTGCATTAAAAGTTTATGTTAAAACCCGTTTCTCTTTCATTATATAATAAAAAATAGATTATATGACTCTTGTAGACCTGAGAGATATCAAAAATTTTTATTGACTCTCGATATAAAACAGGTCAATAAAAACGATATCGACCTCTACAAGAGTCTATAATTGTATATTGTCCACTTTGTAAATTGAATATCAAATTTTATGTTGAAGATGAATATCATGTAATGTTTATCTGTAATAGTCAAAATGAATGACATAAATAAGCACATTAAAATATTTAACTGGGCCTGGGCATCTTCAGAGGAAAAAAGATAAACATTTACCCAACAATCATTCCTAGTGAGAACTTATCATTCCTAGGAGTGGCATTTTCATGAATTGATATCACATTTTCTCCATCATAGATGTCTCTGAAGACAGGCAAGAGACTCAGATTATCTTCCCATACAATGTTTTGGTCTTACCTTGTCTTCTCTTCCTGTTCACATAATCATCACTTTCACCGGGTCTTTTTCCAGCCTTGGCTGTGTCTCCTCCATGCATGTCATAGAAAAACTGTGTGCCCTGAAAATTACATAAAAAATATCTGTTGCTCACCAGATAACATCAAAATGACATTATAGTGGTTTCATATTAGAGGAAAATCTGGTATCAATTTACCTCAAATTAAGTCTGCTCTTCTGCCACCCTTGGGAACGATTCTGAGCCCAACTCCCCAGACCTGACTGTAATGTTGGATATAATATATGAAGGACCATGTGTTCTGAAGGCATTTTGGTTTTATCACTTGAACTGCTCCTCAAACGCACTCGGTGCATACTAGGCGTATCACCCGAACACACCCGGTGAAGTGCACGGGAAAAACGAATAGGTTTTGCATATATAAGACGGTGATCAGCGATACACGGCCCATTCGCTCCTTTCTGCCATTCGGTGCTGTTCGTTAAAGGTCGTGTGTAGGCATTTATTTAGACTACGAATGACTTAGATGTTAGATGTTAGATGTGTAGGTTCAATTGGCTATTGTGGCGTTAGGTTGTTGAACTTGCATTAGTGTGTTTAAGGGTTAGACAATTAGCGGTATTTAGCAGTTCGTTTCATCTCAAAGTTCATTTAGAATCACTTAAGAGAATCACGTTTAGTTCTTTGTTAATCGTCCCATAGTTTTCTCACTTATAATAGTCATCACATTTAGTTCCTTGTTTTAGGCCAAAAGGTAAGTTCGAAATTTTAGTTGATTAGGAATTAGTTAATTTGCATAGCTCTGCCAATAGTTTTATTTTCCACTGCGCAACACCATGTCTTTCTGCAGCTACACAGACAAGTACCAAAGCACGAATTACGATGATAGCTATATATACTGGACAGAAAACCCACCTGTAACACAACTGTAGGTAGTACTTGTGCAAATTGCAAAGAATTGAATTTAAAAAAATTAGCATAGTAATGATCACCAATATCAATTTTTCATGAAATCACTAATGATAATCTGAAAAGTTGCCGATGAACCAAGAATCGGTGTGGACGTTTTCAGAAATACAGTTACACGGACGCCGAAGTGAGCTTTCCACCATATTGGATAATGTATACAAAATCATGATTCACGAAGGCTGCTATTGAGACGCCAATTACATCACATATATTTCATACTGAGCTGCGACAAATGCATCACTGAATTCCCAATACATTTTAGAATCAAATTACAAATAGTGCTTGTCACCAATACCAACTGTCTAGATGAAACGATACAAAATTAATTGGGTGTGAAAACCAACGCTGTGCTCGAAAAGACTGCACTTGTTTGAAATGTAACCAAAGACAAATTCTGAGTTTACACTGCATAGCATTTTCTAAAATTTTCTGACATCCAGCCGTCTATTCATTGCTTGCAATGGCTCAATACTTTTAGAATATACATGGAAAGAGTAACATAGCAAGAAATAGTAAAGTAAAGATAGATACAATGCAACGATTTGATAATTCATAAGAAATTGTCCAAGTTTCCGTGCAGCGTGACGCTATGTCTGACACAAAATCAAGCAGAATGACAACAGTAATTATCGGCATTTCTGACTTCTCTTACATAAAGTGAAAACGATCAAAACATATAACAATACACAGATAGTGAGAATCATTCTGATTACTTACATCTCATAATTATGTACAACCAATCGCTGAATCAAGGGAAGGGTCCTCGCAAAATCATGTGAACCCTTGTTAACGAAGCTGCCATTTTGTAAGAAATCGGCAATCGGTAGTGATGTTATGATACGTCAACATTGTTGTACATATTAGGCAGTTTCTTTGAAGTGAAGGTCAGTTGAACAAGAGTAAACACCAACAAGATATTTTATGGAATTAAGCTTCTTTATTCTATCCCACAGATCCTTTCATCAGGTGAAGTGACAGTTGACACTATTATAAGGGTAACGCTATTTTTCAGGGCATTATCATTTGCAGGAACTCGAGGTCTTTCATTCACTGCCCGACGAAGGAGGGCAGTTGAAAATACCGAGGGCTTCTGCAAAAAAAATGTCCTGAAAAATAGCGCTACCATTATTATAGCTAAAATGGATAGAAATTTAAATAAAATAAAAACAAACAACGGTATCGGTTTTAAAGCATTTACTGCTAACAACAAACGACGGAAGTCACTGACATGCTTTTTACAAATATGGAAATGTCATAGAACAAAACAGATGACGTCACTATTGATAGTGACAACATTCGACCTTGACCTTTGCCCATACTAACAGCCGCCAATTTTTCAATGCTCAACAACGTTAGAGTTACAGAGTTTTTATTGCTGCATGTTGTAATTTACGGTACATTTGTTAAGGTTGGCACGGGCAAAAAAGTTCATAATGGCACCAGAGACCATATAATATTATTATATATGGTCTCTGATGGCACAGGTACATCTGACAAATGTGGTTACTACTTGACCAGGGTTAAGGTTAGCTCTGTAACACTCTCAGAAGTCGCTTGCTTCAGGATACCCTGACCGTACAGTAAGTCGGGAGGTCTTCCTCCTTTCCTTAGTTATTGTGTATTTTTTTATGCAGAATGTAGGATAGGAGAATGATTAGCGGGTTTGGGGGAAATGATGGGGCGTGGTGGTCGAGCTGGTTAAAGCGCCAGGCTAGTGATCCAGCGAGGTTGAGGTGTCGGGATCAAGCCCACCTGTGACCGGGTGTAAAAACCTTGGAGTCAACATTGTGTGCAGACTCTTTCCGTGTTGTCACAACCCCGAGTGTACAGTACACAACCCTGTGCACTTAAAAGAACCCACGAATCCATTGGTATATGACCAGATGGTGGCCACATGAATACGCGCAAACACCTAGTTGCGGGTACAGCAACGTGCAGTGAACTTGGACAAAGTACTGTGACTATGTGTCCCAGTCCACCCAACTGTGAGTGGGTACCTCGTTAGGATGAGCAAGCCGCAATAACTCGGTGCGCCTAGTGGTTGCAAGTGTCGTATACTCCACAAGGAGTTGAGACTGACAATAAGATGTGCCGTTGAGATTGACATCCAATGGTCGAGAGAAAAAATACCAGCGCCTTGAGCAAGCACTAGCTGTGTCGATATGTGTACTATATAAATATCCTATAACAATAATAATAACAAGCCTTGTCACTAAGATGACATAATCCCCCGCCGCAAATTATCAAATCAAACTTATAAAGTAATGAAAGTTTTAGATGCAGTTAAATGTCAACAAAAACATGACTAATCAACCTCTCTTGATATCTGGCTCTTTAGTTGTTCAAACACACACATATTTTCAAGACTGACTTTGACCTTGACATGAATGTCATAGTGTATGAAATATGCAAAACTAGTACTAAAGAAATTGCTTATTGAAAAACATTCAAGAGAAGTCTTAAAAGTCTATGAAGAAAATCCAGTGAACTGTTCTTAAAATATCTTGCTTACAATTCAGGTTAACATGCTGAATTCTTCAAAGTGTCATCGTGACCCTTAAAATTATGTGAAGGTCACCAAAATTGACTGGGCCCTGGGCCTTCCCTAGATGAAGTTTGGTGTCAAATATGAAGAAAATTCAGTGAATATATTTTGCGATATCTTGCTGACTTAACATGCAATTTAACATGCTGATCTTCAAAGTGTCGCTGTGACCTTGAAAATTAAGTGAAGGTCACCAAAATCGACTGGGCCCTGCGCCTTCCCTAGATGAAGCTTGGTATTAAATATGAAGAAACTCCAGTGAATGGATCTTGAAGTATCTCGCTGACAAGCATAACATGTAGGTTAATATGCTGAAATCTTCAAAGCGTCTCTGTGACCTTGAAAATTAAGTGAAGATCACCATAATTGACTGGGCCCTGTGCCTTCCCTAGATAAAACTTGTTGTTAAATATGAAGAAAATCCAGTGAACGGTTCTTGAGATAGGTTAACATGCAGGTTTACATGCTGAAATCTTCTAAGTGTCGCCATGACCTTGAAAATTAAGTGAAGGTCACAAAAATCGACTGGGCCCTGCGCCTTCCCTAGATAAAGCTTGTTGTTAAATATGAAGAAAATCCAGTGAATGGTTCTTGAGATAGCTTAACATGCTGGTTTACATGCTGAAATCTTCTAAGTGTCGCCATGACCTTGAAATTTAAGTGAAGGTCACAAAAATCGACTGGGCCCTGCGCCTTCCCTAGATAAAGCTTGTTGTTAAATATGAAGAAAATCCAGTGAATGGTTCTTGAGATAGCTTAATATGCTGGTTTACATGCTGAAATCTTCTAAGTGTCGCCATGACCTTGAAATTTAAGTGAAGGTCACAAAAATCGACTGGGCCCTTGGTATTGGTATAAGCTTGGTATTGAATATGAAGAAAATCCAATGAACGGTTCTTGATATAGCTTAACATGCAGGTAAAATGTTAAAGTCCCCTTGTGACCTTGAAATGAAGGTCAAGGTCACCAAACCTGAGTTGGACCTTTCTTATACTGTGATGAAACTAGGTACCAAATATGAAAAGAATCTAGAGAACGGTTCTTAAGATATTCCAATTCGTACGTATGGACGGACAGAGCTTAATACAAAAGGTTAAAGTGATAGGTTTAGTGTAGGCTTTATTTTGTAGGAATTTATTAGTTAGGACTTTCTTTTTGGGGGTTAAACAGATTACTAGGTGTGAGTGTGCGTGAGGAAGGCTTGTATTTATTCTGTTAAGTTTGGATCAGTTTAGTTTTGTTAATTAATAAATTGTATTTATTTGGTAAATTTGAATTGTGTTATTATTCTGCGAGAATCGTTAGCAATGACATTAACCACCATAGGACCTGAAATAAGGTTTATGAAAGGTTCTGGTCTCTACTCACAAAGTTAAGATCAATTAAAAATACACAACACTGAACCTTGACACTTACATGACCTTACTGTCACTGGGCGACCTACCTCAGCGGTGGTGCCTATTACAGTTATAGTCCGTTTGGCTCTAAAGCGGACCGATGAATTGCAATCTAACTTGAAAACTAATAAACATAAAATACTCAATGAAACACTGATCATAATATAAAATAAAAAAGTTGTTTAACAAAC